TAGCCTACTTTCCATTCAGTCAATGATTAGTTTTAGTAGCAACATATACTAGCCTATTTCAAATGTATATGTATTGTTTATTTGTTTGATTAGCCTTTATTAATAAATATTATTGAATTGCCGAAAGCAAGGAGTGTGGACTCTGACTTTACACTCGGTTTTTAAGTTATTATTTTAAGTTATTATTTTTAGTTATTAATGTTATTATTAATTCCAAGTTTATTCCAACTTGCGAGTTAAACGTTTATTACAGTCGTGTTTTATTTCCAATCAGAAATAAACTAACCTAAAACCAAAAGTGCAGATAGAAAGCTAAACAGAAAACAGGAAGGACAACTTGTCCCTGCATTAGTGTGTAGTTAGGCACACTTAGCATATGCCTGATAGGTGGCATGCTCTCTATCTGTTCATTACATATGTGGTTGTAGCCAACAACTCACAGGAACTGAATAGGGTGATAAATGTGTATGGTATGGTATATTGTAATGTAAACCTAGGTGGCTAAGACAAGGGTGAATGTGACATGGCAATGAGTATGATCAGAGCATTCTCCTTAAAGAGACACTTTCAGAACCAAACAAATTAAAGTATTGCTCCATTAAAAAATAACAACTTAATAAATATACCCCCATTAAAAATATGCATGTCATTTGTTTGCATGATTTGGTGGTATTTGCAGTATTGGCTTGCAATAGCTACAGATCCAGTATCTGCAACTACTGCAAGCCATCTACTTCATCCTCAGCACAGAATTTCTGTGGTTGTCCAATCAGAGACTTCTCAGTGAGCTGTATGGCAGATCACTGAGAAGTCTTTGCAAGGCACGTGCTAATGTCAATCACCTGAGTTTAGCTTCTCAGAAGAAGTAAGAGGAGCAGCTGCCAGAGTGTGAGCTGAAGAGGTGTAACAAAGTTAATTTATAAATGTTCTATTTTCTATAAAATCACACAGCCTTCCTACACACGTCCTGAAAAATAATAATTTGTTTTAACTTCCCTTATTGCACAGTATGATTAATTTAGAACTTCTTATACCCTGCTCATTAGATCATTCGAATTTAATGAACTGAGCAGGAGATTAAAACTTCTAATTTAAACACACTATGTTGTAAAAATGAATTATTTTTTTCTCAAATGATGTGTGAGTCTCAGTAAGGGGAGATGTGGCTAGGGCTAAATAAAAAAGAGTTATTTAACCTAAACAGCAAAAGAAATGAGCTTGTATACCTCATGGGCATGATCTATACTGTACACCAAAACCATTTTATTATGCTGAAGTTTTTTTGGTGCTTAGAGAATCCCATTAACAATAAGTCATTGAAGAAAAGGGGATAATCAGGTAGCCATATATCTGCTGGACATTTCTGCTTATCAGTTTTGAAGGCTCTCTGGTAGGGCTCAAAACTCTTCCTAGGAATTCTTCAAATTCATATACTGGTGGTTCTTAAGATTATCTATATAAAGGAGCTCAAAAATGTCCACTTGCCCACTAACCATGGTGGATGAAAATTATGAAAATCACTCCTTGTGAGTATGCCATGTACCTTCCAGGCTTGCAGTAGTGTGTGACCTACTAGGCCTGACTAACACAACATTTTGAGCTTTGCTCTGTAATATAAATTCCTTTATTTTTTAACTGGTGAACATTAACTATACATACTTTCAATCAGCTTAACAGCCTAACATGGGGCAGAACAGGTAACATGGAGGCAGTCAGCAAGGTAGATGGATTGATGGATTCACAACTAGCTTCAGTCTAGTTGGGATTAGTATGATTTGTTTGCATTCCTGCGTACACTACATTTATATACATTATTATGTGAAAATGGGGTTTGTAAGTTAGTGCCTACAGCAAAATTTGTCTGTAGGCATGGCTGCTAAAATCACTTCCCTGTTTTGCTGCTCAAAGAGTACTCATTATTTCTGGAACGTGGATGCCTTTAATCTTTTAACACACAAGCCCTACTGTTCAGGCAAGTCTATAGCAAGCACAACCAGGTTGGTTTTCACAGATACAGAATCACATCATACTGTCAGTATTACATCTAGTTGGGCTAGCAAATTATTCAATCTTCAAGAAGATATTGCTCGAATAGATTTCAAAATTCATTTGAAAGTTTGAGATTATCTCAAAATATTTTTCCACACAAGGTAAATGAATATCCTTAATTTGCATGAATAATGCCTTAATACTATTGTTTGTTGCTGTAACCTTTGTGTACGATTTTCAATTTTTTTTAACATAAAAAAAGTTGTTACATAAACTTTGGTTAATTATGAAATATAACCTCAATGTGCTCTAGATGTACTCATGTGTTTGACTTGTACGGTATGTTTTTCAGAGGAATACTACTGAGCTAGCAGGTTTAGTGGGTTATCAAGATAAACACACCGAAACCTCAATGCATACAGTACATAATGTCTCATGCTGCCCTTTGTTTTACTATAATTACCCAACACAACAAAACCCTATTTGAGAAAAAGAGAAAAAAACATGTAATTATACAAAGAGTTTTCTCTCCAAACAGACATTATGGAGCCAAAAAGATATTTACGATTTTAGTGCACAAGATATTAGGCATTTTACAGAAGCATTTTGTCTCTTTCAAATAGAATTTGTAACTATCAGTTTTATTTACTAATTTACAACTGAGAATGGAAGGGAAATATGATTTTATAGGTTTCTACTATCAGTCATACTTTATAGTATGTCAGAATGTTTTATTGTTCTACTTTGAAGTTGAAAAATGTCAACTAATAAGGATTAAATGTATGAATAAATTAAACTCTTATCAGTTATGTAAATACTAAGAACTCATTAACAATGGAAAATTCTTTGGAAAATTGCCACAACAAAAATACTTCTCTTTCCTGTAACTTTAATAGGACTGTAACAAAAAAAAAAAGTACAGGACAATCAGTCACCTAAGCTACTTCATCTCATTGAAGTGGCATGAGTGCAATTGTCCTGTCCTTTTGGAGAAACTGCAATGTTTACATTGCAGAGTTAAATACACCTCTAGCAGCTGTTTCCCTGATATCCACTAAAGGCACATCCGCGGTGCTGACAGAGTAAAACTCGGAAATGTGATGGGGAAGCCCCCAAAGGAAATCATTTATTTAATGCTTTTTATATGGGGAAGCTTGGGTGCACTTGGAGGAACTGTTGTTCTTGGGAGTCTTAAATAAATTATATAGACAATATGACTAATATATTTTATGCAGTTAGTCTAAAATAAAATAATAATGAGAATCAGATTAGAAATAAACTAATTGTGTAATTCAACCAAGGGATGGAGGTCTTAAACTGTATGGGGTCTGGCTTTGGTAGCTGTAGACTGGAAGGGCAATATAAATAATACCCAGCAATCCCAGTATTATTTTAATAAGGACACAGCCACCATCAGGAAAAGACATAACTAGCATAAGGAATTTTTATTTAATTTAAAAAATTTTTTTTTTTAAATTAAGGTCAAGATGCAGGATTTTTTTAAGGCCTTTATGCAATCAAAACATTTTCCCGTGTTATGGGTATCCTGTAAAAATGGATTGCTGAAAATTACTAAATATGTCATCGCTCAGATCATGGACTATACATGTATTACTGCTGAACTCATCTTAAAAAGGACATCCTGGAAGGCAAGGATGTTAACCTGGTTTCACTCCTTATTGCCTCCCAGGATGTAATTGAGAACAAGATATATGAATATGGGGATAGTTCAGTGATGCTTAAAGTGAGAGACTGCCTGAATTTGTCCTGGCTTTCGGGATATATAGGGATTATTATTTTTCAGTTTATCCCGAAAAGAAAGAACTGGATGTGTACATGCATAAGCTAATGGATCTGGGGTACGGTGTTATGGCTTTCTACGATTTCCACCGTTCTTTTTTGCCAAAAGTGGGTGCAGCTCTGATTCAGTTCAACTTCTGTATGGATTGGAGTACAATGGACACTGAGTTATTCTGCAGACACTTTGCTGGCCCCAGAACCCCGGCTTGTGCAGTTTGCCCATCCACTTCTCACTCCATAAACATGTGCCCTAATTCGGCAGAAGTCTCACAGGCCCAATCAGTTCCTTGTTTCCCCCCCAAAGTCTACCAAGATAATCAAGGATAAACTGGGTCAGGACATTGTGTTTTTGGGCAAATCACAAATCTGCAATAACTTCAATGCGGGTACCTGTGGTTTAAGCATGTAGACTGTTGCAGATTTGTTCTCATTGTTTCTGGGCACATGCCAAATCCATGTGGCGAAAAAAAATGTACCCTAAACCCTAACTCACTAGTATTGATATTGTTTGATTTTCTGAACTGTTAACAAGCCATCCTTCTCAACACTTAGTTCACATTTTAGTTGAGGCATTGTCACGGGGGTTTCACACAGGTATCATTTACTTGCCATCGGGTACGCTTGAATGTAACAATTTACAGTCAGCCCTAGCAGATCCAGACTCGGTAGACAAACTGATAAAGACTGAGTTGGAACAGGGATTTGTTCTCTGCCATTTAGGTCCCTTTCACCTCATGGAGAACAAATCCTCTTGGGATAGTCACTGGCAAATCTTCTCAGAAAAGAAGATTGATCATTGACCTATCGGCACCACATTCCTCCAAAGTTCCTAGTCTAAATTCTGTCATACCCTCAGAAGAGTTCTCTTTACAATACTCCATCATTGACAATGCCATCTGGGCCATTCCCCAGGGCCGGCGCGTCCATAAGGCGGCACAGGCGGCCGCCTTAGGGCGCGCGGGCTCTGGGGGCGCACTATTTCAGTGACCGGCAGGAGGGAAGCTCTCCCTCCTGCCAGGCCACCATCTCGACCCCCGGTGCGGCAGTGCTGTGATCAGGCGCGGCGAGGGAGCTCTAATCTCCACCCTCTGCTTCCTCGCGCGCTGCCTACTGATGCCGCGGGAGCCGGAATATGACGTCATCAGTAGGCAGCCCGCGGCATCAGTAGGCAGCCTGCGAGGGAGCAGAGGGTGGAGATTAGAGCTCCCTCGCGTGCCTGATCACAGCACTGCCGTGCGCCTCTCAGCAGCCCCAGCCCTCAGGGACCGATCCATCATCCACACCAGCTCTCCAGGTAGGGAGGCTGGGTGGAAAATGTCTATTTATAAAATAATTAGTGAATGTATGTGATGTGTGTCTGTGAGTGACTGTGTGTGTGTGAGTGACAGAGTGTGTGTGTCTGTGAGTGACTGTGTGTGTGAGTGACAGTGTGTGTGTGTCTGTGAGTGACTGTGTGTGTGAGTGACAGAGTGTGTGTCTGTGAGTGACTGTGTGTGTCTGTGAGTGACAGTGTGTGTCTGTGAGTGACAGAGTGTGTGTGTCTGTGAGTGACAGTGTGTGTGTCTGTGAGTGACAGAGTGTGTGTCTGTGAGTGACAGTGTGTGTGTGTGTGTGAGTGACAGTGTGTGTGTGTCTGTGAGTGACAGAGTGTGTGTGTCTGTGAGTGACTGTGTGTGTGTGAGTGTGTGTGTGTGTCTGTGAGTGACAGAGTGTGTGTGTCTGTGAGTGACTGTGTGTGTGTGTGTGTGTGTGGTGACAGAGTGTGTGTGTCTGTGGTGACAGTGTGTGTGTGTCTGTGGTGACTGAGCTTGTGTGTCTGTGGAGTGACTGTGTGTGTGAGTGACAGAGTGTGTGTGTCTGTGGTGACTGGCGTGTGTGTCTGTGGTGAGTGTGTGTGTCTGAGTGACTGAGCGTGTGTGTCTGTGAGTGACAGTGTGTGTGAGTGACAGAGTGTGTGTGTCTGTGAGTGACAGAGCGTCTGTGTGTGTGTCTGTGAGTGACAGAGTGTGTGTCTGTGAGTGACTGTGCGTCTGTGTGTGTCTGTGAGTGACAGCGTGTGTGTGTGACTGAGTGTGTGTGTGAGTGCGTCTGTGTGTGTGTGTCTGTGAGTGATTGTATGAGTGTGTCTGCATGTGAGTGTATAAGTGTGTCTGTCAGTGTATGATGAGTGTGTTTGTCAGTGTATGAGTGTGTGTCTGTCAAATCAGTGAGAGTATGTTTGTCATTGAGCCTGTGTGTGACTATCAGTGTGTCTGTCAATGAGTGTCAATCAGTGTGGGTCTGTCAGTGTCAATGAATGAGTGTGTGACAAATCAATGAGTCTGTGTCTGTCAGTGACGTCTGTGTGTTTGTCATTGAGTGTGTGACTGTCAGTGTGTACAGAGTGTAGCGGAGCAGAGCGCGGTACAGGAGCTTCTGTTTCCTGTACCTGGCCAGACTGACAGGAGGTGCTCAAAGAGAGAGTACTCCCTGTCAGTCCGGCCAGGTACAGAAAACTGAAGCTCCTTTAGGGGATCTGCTCCGCTCGGCAATGCAACAATAGAGGTAGTAGGCACACCAGGAAGGGGAGTGTGACCACTAAAGGGGTGTGGGGTGCACCAAGGGACAGGGAGGGAATGGGAGAGAAACACCAAGAGACAGGGAAAAGAGGGGGGAGAAGAACACTGAGGGACAGGGAAGGGACCACTAATGGTCGGGGAGGGGAGAGGGGCTGGTTAAGAGGCACATAGGTGAAGATGTTTTTTTTGGGGGGGGGCGGAAAAATGCATCTTCGCCTATGTACCTAAAAATCCAAGCACCGGCCCTGCCATTCCCACAGCAGGGGCAGAGGCATGGCTCAGTAAAACTGATATTGTCAATGCATTAAAATTACTTCCTATTCACCCCTCACTGTGGCATTTGCACCACATAAAGTGGCATGGTTTATATTATTTTTTCTCCAGACTCCCGTTCAGTTCCATAAGTAGCCCCAAAATATTTAATATTTTCCGTAAACCCTATGCTGGTTGCTACTTAATGTGTGCAGATGCCCGACTATTGTACATTACTTAGATAACTTTCTCACGATTGAAGACAACTCTCACCCTTCTCATAGTCTTACAGCTGCAATCAGTCTTTTTGAATCCCTGGGTATACCAGTATCCCCAAAAAAGACCTAAATTTCTAGAAATTCAACTAGACTTGGTTAATATGCTGTACTGTCTTCTTTGTGATAAAACTGAGCAAACTTTGTCAAGTATCGACCTTTACTTACGATTGGGTTCCTGCAACCGGAATTGGCTCGCTCAAATTTGCCATGAGGGTCATTACACAAGGCAGATCTTTTATTTCACGGCTCCTCTGTTTGTTCCCTTACCTTCCCTAAGACAACACATGCATCACTTTGGACCCTCATGCAACGGCAGATTTACTCATGTGGCGCAATTTCTTGCTAAATTGGAACGGGAAAGCAATGTTTATCCAACCAATCTCTGACAGTTCCCCGACAATCTGGACAGATGCTGCAGCCAATACAGAATTTGCCGCCATCTGTAGCAATAACTGGCTTTGGGGTCCTTGGCCTGTTGAAGTCAAGTCCCTACCAGGTTTTTCTAAGACTTCAGCATTATTTGAACTTTACCCCATAGTGGCAGCAGTTACCTGGGGGCCTGGCTGAGCTGGTCGCTCAGTCAGATGCTTCTCATATAACCTAGCTACCTGCCACATTGTCAACAAAGGTCGCTCATTCTCATTAATTGTCATGAGGTTTTTACAGAAAATGCACTTGGGTGGCAGCCACTCACCAGTTTTTTCTTACATGTATTCACATCCCGGGGGTTTCTAATATATACGCTGATCACCTGTCTCGTTTCCGCTTGCAGGCATTTCACGAGACTCTACCCATTGCCTCCTGTCTAGCTACTCCTGTCTCTCCATTTCAAGACATGTTAATGGATTAAATGTTTTGTTGTCATGAACACGGAACCTCATCCACTTGGCACTCTCGGATAACACTAGGAAATCCTACGACAGGGCTTTTCACCTTTTCACCAAATTCACTACTGATTTTCATATTTACGACAAGTTTGCAATGGAGTCTTTATTGGGTTTTACTTATTTTTGACACCTCAAGCTAAAATTATCTTATAACAATATCAAACTCTACCTAAAGGGCATTCAACATCACATGCTGGTACTGCACCCTAACAAAACAGGATTCTTATCCTCTTATCAAATTAAAACCTTGCTGAAAGGGATACAGAAATCCGACAAAATATTACCCCATAAAAGACTACCCATCTAAGGTAAACTCTTCTAATCCCTATCTAATTTATTAGAAACTTCTCCTTTTAAACCAAATACCAATATGGTAATCAAAAACAGCCATATACCTAGTATTTTACAGTTTCCTAAGAACAAGGGAATTCACCTGTCAATCTAACTGCCACATATTTCCTTACAACTAGGAATATCAATAAAACCAGGGATCACTACATCCTGTCACTCAACTATTCTAAAACGAGTCAGATGGGACCTCCGGTCAATATACCATTCTACCCTACTTACAACAAATGGTGCCCAGTTCTTGTTATAGACACATACTTCAGCACTTTAAAAAAATTACTTTACCAACCACTTCTTGAGCTACATGGTTCCACACTCACTACATCCAAATTTATGCTGTCGTATGCTATTAACTAGGCTTGGTCTTAATTCAAATCACTATTCAGGCCACTCTTTCCGAATAGGGGCTGCCTCATCTGCCTCCTCCAATAACACTCCAGCACATATAATCAAAACCATAAGACGCTGGAAATCATCCACGTACACCCTATACATCCCTGAACCAGTTAAAGAGATTCGTCAAGCCTTTTAAGACTTATCCAAATGATTGATGTTTGTAGAACAAATAAAAATTTGTATGGTACACTTCTTTCGCACTCTTTTTTCCGGCACACCAGAACCGACTGGTGTTTTTAAACTATGTTATTATTACAATTTACATGTTATTTCTATTTATATGTTATTTAACCATTACGGCAATATTGCCCCCACCACAAATTTAAGGCCGGGCCTGTAGTTGTGGGAGGGGCTTGGAGTCCCCTTTATAAGGACCTCCAATCCTCTCTCACATACCGTTATTGGTCTGGCGAGTTGACCCACCCACCACTCCCTCTTTTTACATCACCCTTTATAGGTGGGCCCTCTTTTATTACAGGCCTACTGCATTGTTGGTTCCGGCACACCACAACCGACTGGTGTTTTTAAACAATGTTGTTATTACTATTTAAATGTTATTACTATTTATATGTTATCTAACCATTACAGAAATTTTGCCCCCACCACAAATATATATGATACAATGTTTGGTTTGAAAATCTAATAAAAGTATAACATTGATTAAACCTTCATAAAACAAAATAGAGACATGTACTCTATACAAAGAAGATTGAGTATGGAAAAATAAACACTCATTATAATCTGTGGCACACAATATTTCATTATACTTGTTAGACCACAGAATCCTCACAGATGAGAATTTACTGGTCATCATTTAGGGGCAATGCTAAAATATTGTACTGGAGAACTCACATCTTGCCTTTAGTAAAGCATCATCAGAATATAAATTTGTTTTATGCAGAGAGTACCCTCTTCACTCCTATTGCATTTGATGTTATTGCTGGTACTGAGTTTGCAGCTCCAGTAAATTAAAAATATATTCAGACCTCTTAGTTTTTTTCAAATATTTTATGTTGCATCCTTATGTTACAATTGTTTAGATATTTTTTTCACATTAATCTACACTCAATACCCCATAATGACAAAGTAAAATAAATATTTTTCAAATATATGAAACCGAGTAAAGCTGACATATCACAATGATATAATTTTTTTAATTCAGTCCTGAACATAGTGGAGCAGATTTTCATTAAGCATATATCTGTATTTTGCTGTGTTCATCTTTCCCTCAACCCTGACCAGTGTCCACTATAAAAACACACCTAAAGCATGATGCTACCAACACCATATTTCACTGTTGAGATGGAATTTCGTGGGTGATGTGGCTGGTTTCGTCCAGACATGACGCTTTACATTGATGTCAAATCTTCATTTCATCAAATAAGAGAATCTTGTTTCTCACACTCTGCGATTTCTTTAGGTGCTTTTTTTCCTATAGATTTCAAGCTGGCTTTCAATTTACTTGCAGTGAAGAGATGCTTCTGTCTTGTCACTCTGCAATAAAGTCCGGGAGTGCTGCAGTGATGGTTGTCCTTCCGCAATTTTCTCCCATCTCCACACATGATCACGGGAGCTCCCCCAGCCTGACCATCAGGTCCTTGGTCACCTTTGTTACCCCGATTGCTCAGTATGTCTGGGAAGCCAGCTCTAAGAAGAGCCCCGGTTGTTCCAAACTTCTTCTATTTAAGAATTATGGAGACCACTGTGCACTTGGGGACCTTTAATCCAGCTGAACTTTTAGCTTTGCCCAGATACGGTCACTGAGCTTTGCAGGCAGTGCCTTTGACCACATGACTTTTTGCTCTGTCATGCTTTTACAGCTGTGAGATCTTTTATAGACAAGTGTGCACCTTTCCAAATCATGTCCATTGACATTTCCACAGGTGGACTCAAATCAAAGTGTAGAAACTACTAAAAGATGATCCAGAGGAATGGGATGTATCTGAGATAAATTTCAAGTGTCAAAGCAAAGTTTTCTTTTTAATAAATTTGCTATGTTTTCAAAAAGCTGTGGCAACATATATAAGAACAAAAACAAGCAAGCCATAAGCACAACCATAGATAAACACAAATAGGGTGTGTAGGCAGGAATGTCAGTTAGGATCCCTTAACTGCTCCTGGAGACTGGTAAGTCCCCAACCTCCTCCCCATCTTAAATGCCTTCAGCCTTTTACAATAATGTATCCCATTCCCTACAAATCCATCCCTCAATCCATGGGAAATAGTCATGCTACCCCTTCCCTATATGTCCAGGGGCATATATACTTTATATACAGTATATATGCATTCCATGTATTTAATGTGTTTGAAATACGTTTCTTGTTTTTAAAGTTTCAGAATAAAACTGCCTTTTTTCACATTCATTGGAGCATTCCCGTGGCTAGCTTAAACGTTGTTTATTTTCGTTTTTGACATGAATCCAATGTAGAATGATGATGTAAAAAGACAGACTGGTCATGAAGCAGCACTATGACTCATCAAGTCTGCACTTGCTGACAGTCTGCAGCTACACTAGTATTTTACTAAGCAAAAATAGTGTACATTCAACACTCTGACGTGATCATAGAGAGCTGCAGAATAGAAAATTGATTTTTATTGTCTGCCAACAGAATTTTAACAAAGTCAATATGTCTTCAAAAATAGTCAGAATGCAATTTACTGTGCTTAATCTCTACTACTCTGTTAGAATTCACTAGTTACTAGTCAATATTTCTTCATAACCATCTTATCTTATCTCAAGTTAGTTTTCTCATACCCCTTGTTTATTCTGCTCCCATTTATTCCCGTAACTGACTGAAAAACAGTCTGAATGCATCCTCCCTGATACTTACAGTGAAAAATTGGCAGTAACAGCACATTCCTCAGAGATATTCCCTTAAGGCAGAAAATGACACCGTTCCTTGTTTTTAGAACTTGTATTTCAGTCCCAGCTTGATTTACTTCCATTAGGTGAAACATTCAGAGCTATTAACTAAAGTGAGAATTCAGCGTGTATTCAAAGTAAGTTTCAAATGTAAGGCCAGAGTAGCTGAATTGAAAGCATAGGTGACTTAACAAATTTTTCCAGTTTGACTATTTTGACTTTAAA